TTTCTCATCAGATTTTGCAAAAAATTAGGCTTTTAGCATCATTAAATTTTTCAAGATCCATCAACGAGTATTTGTTTAAATAATTTCGTCCAGCTAGATTTGCGATCTGAACTACTGTGAGCCGTGCGGCGAAACACATACACAAAATCAGCTCAGCTATTAACACCACCTTATATAAATTTGCCTTGGTCGCAATTGTGTTTACTCTGACGGACGGCAACTGTTCAGCTACTCACTTACCGCCGCCCGCTTACCGTCGTTCGCTGTAATTCTGAGTAGAGCTTTAGAAGTCAAAAGTTTTGAATTTTTTTATAGCCGCATATTTTCTTTACTTAATTTTCCTTCGTATGAAACGCTATGTACCGGAATATTTTATTCGATAAGATTAGTCGACAAGAAATCCGAGCTTATGTAAAATCCATACCATCATCTACATACGTCAGCAACATTTTAAAACCGGACTATTGGTTTAGGAGTTATTCATTGATTTATTGAAAATGACGCGTGATTTTTAACAAATGTCCAAAAAAAATTTTTTGGTATCAACATCCACATGAACAAATTTGTTTACTTCCTCCGATTTCTTGTTTAAATTGAATAATAATTGTAGAAATTATGACTAACAAATGTTACAAATTTATGATTTCATTAAATATTAAAGCAGATGCCTATACCGCAAGTAATTTTTTTTAGAAATTTTGTGAAAACTATGCAAAATTGGCATTCAACAAAGAGTGGGAGCGCGAGTTCCTTTTTCTTTTTTGCAAAAATTGTGAGTGCAATGCGCAGTGTATGTCGTGCTTTGTAATTAAAGGAATGACAATATTATTTGCCAAGCCATTTTGTAACTTATCACCAAAACTTATTAGAAAATTTCAAAGGGGCCAAGAAAATGATTGTTTGCCAATCTTAATTCAAATGTAAAACCTTAGGAGCATCACATCGGGTAAAATTGATAGGATTGCAGACATTCGGGCCCTAACCACCAAAAGTTAGCTGATTTCTTTTTTTGATTTTCTTTTTGATGCAGAGTAGCTATTTATATGATTCCAATGTATTTTGTCTTATATAATAAAATGGCAGATATTAACTCAGCCAGCAAAAAANAATTTATACTAAAGCTACTTTTCCATATGAACACAGAATTAATTATTTTTTAAATTTAAATTTTTTTTCACGTGTTCTCAAAAGATCAAATCTTTGGGAAGTTTCTCGATCACTAACCTACCTCGTCGATAAAGTTATCATACAAAATACCCCCTAACTACCAGCCTCCAGCAATATTAGCCTCTAGTAAAATACTTACAAAGAAAACAATTTGTTATACATTTGTAGCATTGACATTTAAATATTTTTATTAGTCTATTGTATGGGATTGTAATAACTATAATGCACATTATAATTACATTTCAGGTGACCCTTGCCTGCGAAGGGCAAACATGCAAAGCGCACAAAATGGTTCTATCTGCATGCAGCCCGTATTTCAAAGCTCTTTTGGAGGTAAATAACGCATATATATATTTATACAGCTAATTAAGCCAGCAACGTTTTGATAATTTTATTTCTTTATCTTTTTTTTTGCTTGATGTTGATTATTTTTTAATACAAGTTTTTTCTAAATTTTAAACTTTTTTTAGATTTTTCTGCAAGATTTTATTTTTTTATTAAGTTACTAAAAAATCGCGTTGATTTTTAATACTTTTTTCTAACTGTATTACGCATTTTTTTCATACAAAGCAGTGTTTGCACTAATCGATTGATATATTAATCAATTAAGGAATTCGATTAAATTCAATCCGATTACAGTTAATCATGATTAATTTAAATCTGATTAAACAGTTGATCGTAACCGCGATTATAAAAATTAATTTTTAATCATTAACCCTTAATTTGATAAAGTGGGTTTGGTGATTCATTAATTTATGCTGGAAATTTACTGTGCACCCAAGCCCAGTTAATTGGGTATTGCAAAGTCGGTTTTCCTCATAAATCCAATCACTTTGGTGTGCATTTTCGTTAAGATCTATTTTAACAGACGCTAATGAAACTAGGTTTTAATATCCCTCTGCACATGTCCGATAGGTTTTAAAAATTCCCAGTTTATGTATTACTAATAATAGTAATTATTATTTTTTTTATATATTATACGTTTTTTATAAGCGTGAAACATAAAAAAATAACTATAACCCGTGTTTGGTTTCAAATTCGGACAAACTAGACCACTTAATCTAATTTTTTTTAATTGGATTAACGATTAATGATTAGAATTAATTAATCGTAATCACAACCGACGATTAACGATTAAAAATTGTAATCATTAATCGTACGGATGATTACGATTAATTAATTTTAACGCTAATCTCGATTAACATTTTAATCGTTAATTTTTAATCGTTAATCAGATTAACATTTTGCCAACACTGATGCAACGTATTTATATTCGATATCTTTTTTTGTATGGGAAAAATGCTTAAAACAGCCAGAAAAAATTATAAAAAATCAAAGCTCCCTCAACCACCAGAGGGAGTCTCGATTGTCTCCTACGGCGACGATTGCTCGATCATGGCGACTGGGAATGCAATTGATGACCTGTGTTCGAAAGTAAACGGATATCTCTCCGCTCTTTCTCGCTTCCTCGCTGCAAAGTGTCTAGCCCTCTCCCCTACGAAATCCTCTGACCTTGTTCACCACCTGGACGAAGGAGGTCAGGCTACCGCTGGGAATTCACGTCGATGATACACCAATTCCGACGGTGAATAACCCCAAAATACTCGGAGTAACATTCGATAGCCTGCCCTCCTTCTCTGCGCACGCAACCGCTATTGTCAACAAAGTACAGAGCCGCAACAAAGTCCTCATGTCGCTAGCCGGCAGTACCTGGGGCAAAGACAAAGAAACGTTGCTCGCAACATACAAGGCAATAGGCCGGCCGCTTTTAAACTACGCAGCACCAGTGTGGTCGCCGGCGACTAGTAGGACGCAGTGGATGAAGCTACAGACAGCACAAAACACAGCACTCAGGACAGCGACCGAATGCCTCCTGATGTCACCTCCATGATGAGGCGAAAATGCTCCCAATTAAGGAGCACAACACGATTCTCTGCAAGCAGTTTCTGGTTGGGAGCCACAGATGTGGCCACCCAAACAGACAGCTGCTTGCAGAGGAGCCCTCGCCAAGGCACGTCAGGAGGCATCTATATGAACTGACGGACGATGTCCAGAGGTTCATTAAGCATCCTCTGGACCCGTCAGTTTACCGACAGGTCCTGAACGGCATTCACAGGGACTCAGTCTCGAGTTATGTAGACTCTAGACCTATGAATGCCGTTCTAGGCACACAAATACCGGACATTGACACGACGGAGCTCCAGCTGCCTCGGGAGACTAGAACAACAATAGCCGATCTTCGCTCTGGCTACTGCAGCAGGCTAAACTCCTACCTGAGTAGGCTAAATGCAGATGTGCCGAATAAATGTCGGGCATGCGGAGAGACCCCTCACGACTCGAAACATCTCTTCGCATGCCCGGAAAACCCTACAACCCTAACGGCGTCGTCCCTGTGCACGCTTCTTAGGGCTGCCGTTAGTGGAACTCGACGACAACGACTGAGATATCAACCGATCTGGCCGAGGTTGCTGTAGCCGCTACAACAACAACAACATAAAAAATGAACGCGATTTTTTAGCAACTTGAAACTTGCATGTACTAGAATTTAATGGCCTATAAAATTGCATATCGAAAAATTTTGAAAAATCTGAATAATAAGTAGAAAATTTAGATACAATTTCGCAAATTTTTTATAATTTTTGCAGAGCTAGACTTTAATTAAAAAATATTAAAATTAAATAAACAAAAGAAAAATAGCCAAAATTGGACAAGATGTTGCTGTACATGTATAAACAAAAGGAGATTAATTATAAAATGTATTTCATTTTAGGAAAACCCTTCGAAGCACCCCATCATTATCTTGAAAGATGTGTCGTATATACATCTGCAAGCTATATTGGAGTTTATGTATGCCGGCGAAGTGAATGTATCGCAAGAGCAATTGCCGGCCTTTTTGAAAACTGCTGATCGCCTCAAAGTGAAAGGTCTGGCAGAAACTCCTAGTTCTATAAAACGGGAAGGTTGATGGTGGTAAATAAGTTCAATAAAATACGACTATATATAATAAAACAACAAAACAAATACATACGCCTAAACTATTAATAAGGAATGAATATAAATTTAATTGAAAATTTTAATTTAAATGCGTAAAATAATTTAGTAAACTGCTAAAGATACAAAAATAATACATACTGCATACAAAAGAAGTGCGACTCAGAATTTAATTGCTTTAATCATTAATAGAAATGATTGCGCACAGTTTGTTTCATTATATGTTTTAAATCTCAGATTAACAACCGCATTGTTTTGCATCATATATCGATAGCCATTATTTAAAATGATTTATTTAGTAAACTTCTTAGATTTTTTTTCAATTGAATTCATTTTTCGGTACGCGTTACTTCTCTTGAGCAAATCTAAAACTCTGTTGCGCAAAATGAATTATATTGTATATTATTTAAATTGTACGAATTAAGCCGGCAAACTAATATCGAAGGAATTAAAAAAAGAAAAAACACCACGAGCTGGAAATTATAAAGAATTTTGTAGTGTATAAAAATAACTAAAAAGCATAATTATAAACGATACTGTAGAATGCTAAATGACTTTGACAATGTGTAAAAAGGCGAATGAAAGTTTTAAATAAAAAACTAAGAATGGGATTGTATCTCCTGTTTAGATATACATATTAAGCTACCATTTTAGAGTTGCAATTATTCGTACATTTATACCATTTAAAACAATACATTTAGATAAGAAGCGAGGGCATTTTAAAAAAATCGAGGTCATGACAGGAAAACTAACCCATTGAAAGTGAAATGTAAACAAACCTTTAAATTTATTATTTAATAAACTGCAAAAATCTCTATCAGCCCAAGCACCGATCAAGTTACGTGATAAAGAAAATAATGGGACAAATTAATAGTCAAAATACAGTCGAAATCAAAGTTATTTGCAGCTTATTGACATAATTTTCAATGGAATATCTACCAAGAAAACTGCAATTAACTTTAGAATCGACTTTATTTCGACTATGAACAAGCCCCATTGTATTAAAAGTTTTACTTAAGTAAATGAACGAAAATCATAAGCTATAGCCAAAGTAGATTTGATGAAAAAGAAATAAAACAGGAATGCAATTCATAAAAAATGAAGTGGCACATCTTTTAATTGTTTTCTTGAAATCAATTTCTTATTTCAAAAGACTTTATTTCACTCCTACTATATTGCCAATACTAGCTACACAAAAAAGTTCAAGCAAAATTTTAAGACACTGAAAATGACCCAAGAGCTTTTGTAACATAGAGCTCTCATTATTTAAACATTAACTGATAAAATTTGTGTTCAGCGATTTATGTTTGCGTTAAATCGTAACAAAACATAGTTTCCAACTAGGTTCTATTCTATGGCAGAATACTTTTTTTTTAAATAATCATAACCACCCTTTTTCCTGCTTCTTCCAATTATTCTATTTGACGTAATAAAATGCAGAAGGGAATACCATACCAAACATAATCGCTTTTAAAGTAATTACCGATAATATGAAATGATTTAAAGCTAAATTTATCTAAGTTTATATTAAATTGAAATATCGCGCATAGAAAACAAAATTTAAAATTTATATTGATACTTGAATATTAAAATTATATGAAAAATATATAATGTGCATACGTATATATGTATGTGAAATATAATAGTTTTAAAATCACAGAAATAAATAAAAAACGCCGGAAATTTTCATGGATTTATTTATATTTCCTACTTATTGTGTTTTTGTTGTTGTAACCCCCCCTCCCCCCCCAAAGAGAATTTGGGGAGTGTTGCTGGAGTGACAGTCCTTGGCCAGATATAAATCTGGGTCCTTCCGGTTTCGTAGACCCGACTGCCGTGAGAACGCTACTTATTGTTTCTATTACTATGCTTATGCTACTTTTCTACTCAGGAAAATTCAACCCACATGCATAAACACCTTTTTAATCGAGTTAGCAAGTATACTCGGGTAGAATGTACACATTTTTTCTACACCGGTAGAAATTTTAACACGGGTTGAAATTTGGTAATAAACGATTTTAGAAGTGCTTGTTAGGGTTGCATTTGATTTTATAACTCGAGTTGAAACTGACCGTTTGTGCTTGTTGGTTCTATCCGAGTAGAAAAGAAGCGTAAACATAGTAGGGGTATTCTCCAAATCTTGCAAAGCCATTGCACGTAGCACGGATTGCATGGATTGTATAACTTGCAAACACACAACAACAAAATACATGGGAAACAACATTTCCTATCGCTGCAAAATATGCAACGTCGAAACCCATGTATATATTTTGCAAAATAGCAACAAGATAAAAGCGATCCTGTGCTTATTGTTTTGTTATTGAAATTGCTACATATTTCTCTCATTCCTCTCATCTCGCTCACTCCATTTTTTTTGCTGTCTCTTGTTATTGTATTTGATACTCTCTCTCTCGTACTCTTCGAAATTTGGAATAGTATTTTTGCATTTCGTGCAATCCGTGCATTTCGTGCAATCCGTGCATCGTGCAAGACTTCGAGAATACCCCTAGTATATTATGGGCAGTAACGCAACCTCAGTCGGGTTGCGGGTGGGCAATGTCGCTGAAATTTAAATGTATATTAGGTCTGTTCGGTGAACGCACCAGAGTACTCTAGTACAGGAAAAAGCGTTTGGCGAGGCTTTTTCTTGCACTAAACGCATGTATATTCTTGCGCTAAATGTGAGATGTTGCTCTGCACTGCACTGTTCTACACTTTTAGTGTACTCATCGAACAGTCATATTAGGTCCATTCTTTTGCAATCGAGCTACAAAAGAACACTCGCTTAAATGACGAAATACATGCAAAGCAACAACACAAACTCGGCTTTTTATCCGAGTTCAGCCAGGTCAGTTAAAAAATACGCGACCTGAAGAGTAGTGTTGTTAAGTGAAAAAACTGCTCTAGTGTGAATTGTTTTCTTATATACATGATTTATATTTTAAATAAGTATGTATATTACGCAAATACCTCGCATAATAACTAATAGAATTGTTTTTTGTGTCTAAATCCCGTTAACTAATCACATGTTTCTTGCCAGCTACCAGCAGGGTTGCTTAAGTAGCTAAAAGGAAATTTTACCCGAGTTGAGCGTTCTTTTGTCGCTCGCTTACAAAAAAATATAGCAATTATTAATACCTAGTAACTGTAGCACAGTGGGTCGAATCGCAAATCTAGCTGGACGAAAGTCGAAATTTTATTGGTTTTTAAATTACTTTATGATACTTGCTATACTTCCTGACAATGTATTTAGAAAGAAATTATGGAAACAAAACAAAGGTAAGCCAACGCCGCACAGTGACATTTGGTACCCATTTTGTGCCCATTATTTAAAAAATTAGTATATTGACATGAATTCAGGTTTACAAATTGGCTGATCCAATATGGCGCCTAAAACCTTAGCGAGTTATAAGGGGTCGCCAAATTCGAATCTGAAATCAAAATCAGCCCTATTCTGCATTTCGATTACGTTCTCGCATTCCGCTCCGCTGGAATCGAACTTAGGNCGCATTCCGCTCCGCTGGAATCGAACTTAGGCATTCTGCGTTACGATCGAAACGAAAGAAGAAGAGGAAGAGAGAAAACATCTTTCAAAATCAGCCGTTTGCCTAGGAATGTGTGAAATCGAAACAAATCAAAGAAATATTTGCCACCAAACTATAGCAGCGTAGAAGTTAAAGTTTGTAAATATTTTAAAATAAATAAATATATCTAGCATC